TCAAGTTCAATTCAGATGGTTCAATTGAAAGGCATAAAGCCAGGCTGGTGGCTCGAGGATTCACTCAAACATTTGAGGTGGATTACAAAGAAACTTTTGCTCCTGTTGCAAAAATGAACACAGTTAATGTTATATTGTCTGTTGTCGTCAATAAGGGTTGGTCCATGTACCAAATGGACGTGAAGAACGCCTTTCTACATGGTGACCTTGAAGAAGAGGTCTATATGAGATTGCCACCAGGACACCCTCAAAGCCAGGAACCTGATTTGGTGTGTAAGTTGCACAAGTTGATTTATGGATTGAACCAATCGCCTCGAGCTTGGTATGCTAAACTAAGTTCAGTTCTTCACAGTGTTGGTTTCAAAAGGAGTAATGCAGATTCATCATTATTTGTTCGCAATGGAGCTGAGAGCAAATTAGTTGTGTTGATATATGTGGATGACTTAATAATTACAGGTGATAATGCTGCAGAAATCTCCACACTCAAACAGTCACTTCAACAAAGATTTGTGATTAAAGATCTTGGGGTGTTGAAGTATTTTCTTGGAATTGAAATGGCATCTTCTCACAAGGGATTATTTCTTAATCAACGAAAATACGTCATGGACCTACTCAAGAACATTAATATGAGTGATGCTAAGCCTGCACTTACCCCTCTCGATAGCAAGCTCAAACTTGACTTGGGAGGCACGCCACTCTCGGATATCAGCTCCTATCAAAGGCTTGTTGGTAAACTGATCTACCTAACAATCACCAAACCGGACATCTCCTACTCAGTGAGTATCGCCAGTTAGTTCATGCACTCCCCCACCATCGAGCATTTGAACCTTGTAAAGAGGATCTTACGTTACTTAAAAGGGTCTGTTGGTTGTGGCATTCTCATGACAAAGAATGACAACAGTCAAATCATGGGGTACTGCGATGCAAATTGGGCAGGCAATGCAATCGATTGCAAGTCCACCACTGGTTATTGTACCTTCGTTGGTGGAAACTTGGTCACGTGGAAGAGCAAAAAACAAAATGTCATCGCAAGATCAAGCGCCGAAGCTGAATACCGTGCAATGGCCTCAACCGCGTGTGAGCTGATATGGCTAAAGGGACTTCTATGTCACTTAGGTGGATTCACAACTCAACCAATGACCTTATTCTGTGACAACCAAGTGGCCATGCACATCGCATCAAACCTAGTCTTTCACGAGAGGACGAAGCACATTGAAGCCGACTGTCACTATGTCCGTGAACAAGTCCAGTCGTAGGTGATTCAGACACGTTATGTAAAAAGCTCCGATCAGCTGGCCGATATCTTCACCAAACCGTTGGCCTCCCATCAGTTTCAAAGGCTTCTCTCCAAGCTTGGATCCATCAACCTTCTGGATCCAGCTTGAGGGGGAGTATTGGAAGTTGTCCAGTGGTTATTAGGGTTCCTGGTTATTAGGATGGTTTATGCTAACATTGGATAATAAGGGAATTGTTCATGTAGTTTTCTTTTGGGTATTAATGGTTCCCTAGGTGGTTAATGATCCGGTTCTTATGTGATTAGCATCTCTATGTATAGGAGTCTTAGTTGTCAACTCCTTAATTAATGTTGACAACCTCTTTGCTTCGTTTTTTAGTTTTTCCCAGCCGGCTATATAGCCTGCTCTCTTTGTAATGATCTCCAATGAATGAAAAGAAAACCTTGAAAATCAACAGTAAGACTGGTGTGTTTGAGTGCTGGTGTATTGTTTATGATCGGGTTCTGTTTACGTGTTAGTGAGAAGCTACAAGCCTATCAACTAATTCTCTAAATCCCTATGGAATCTTTTCCTTTTTCAGGTAAGATATATATAGTTGCCCGCCATGGATTCGGTTAGAGGACAAGGAGGCATCCAGATGTTGCTAACAGTTGAACAGGATGCTCAACAAATTGTGAACAATGCTAGAAACTGTAAATGCATTCTTATGCTAATTTCCGCAATTAACATTCTCTATGTGCCGGAGATTTATCAGTTTGTTATTTTTTCCTTTTAACTCTTGATATGAATCCTCCAAAATAATTTTACGTTCTTCAGCGAAGATGGCACGCTTGAGACAAGCTAAAGAAGAAGCTGATAGGGAAGTGCAACTCTGTCGCACGAAGATGGAGGCTGAGCACCAAAAGAAAATTGCAGATGTACTAACTAGTCTTTCATCAACTACCCAAATGTATCAGCGTCACTCCATTGTTTCCCCAAAAAAAAAAAAAAATCCTTTTTGTGATGAAATAATTAGCAGCATTATGATTCATACCAACATAACACACGCATAAGGGTTTTTGAATTAATTTGAGATCCTAATGATTTGATAAGTTTCTCTGATTAGCTTTAAAATTTCTGCAGACAAGTGGGAGTTCAGGATCCAATGTGAAAAGGCTCGAAGAAGAAACTGATACGAAAATTAAGAACTTGAAGGAGTCAGCCTCAAAGGTCCAATCGGATATCGTTGGCATGCTTATTAAGTATGTCACAACAGTGAAAATTTGAACAGTCTGCGGGTTTGTATATGATAACTCACTAACGTCTGTATTTAGTCGACAACTTCTCAGTTCTTCCGTTAATTTTTTTGTTCTTTTTTTGGTAAAGAGTTCTTCCATTAATTTGTGTTTTTGGGTTGTCTTCCTATCCAGTCACAATATATGTGTGGACAGCAAAGCGAGAGAACCCGGAATAAAGTGCATAACTAGTAGTCCGGCCAATGTTACATAAACAGTCTTGGTGCATGTTTGTGAAGCATGTCTTAGCTTGCAGCAGTTGTGAAAGACTTCGAGAGAACGTCAAGAGAAAATTATTATATTTTTTTGTCTTGTACTTGAGCGATATTCTAATAAATATAATTTAAACTACAAGAACGGAGATTCGAATTTGGGTAAAGAGAGAGGAGCGTACTACTCTAGACAACTTTTCTAAACACAGCCTAGGTCTATTAATAAAATAGTCCAAGAAATACTGCCCCCTTGATATGCAGGACTAACAAGACTAGTAAGATTTTATATGCCACCCAGAGAAGAATATGGAAACTGTCCTCATAAGTTGGAGAATTTAGATGGATTATTTCTAGGAGGTTGGTGGCTAAAACTTATCCATGCTAAGCCTGTGAGATTTAAAAATGATGGGACTAGTTTTTAAAAGCTCTACTCAAACAATTTTTACTAAGAATTAATTTAAAAAAATATTTTCTTTAAAAGTATTTTCAGTCATCTAAAAGCACTTCTCAAACGATTTGATAAAGCACCTATTGTTGTAAACTAAATTTTAAGATTGGCTGAGAGAGACAGGGAGTCAGGGACGGCAATGAGAGGGGCTTTGGTGTTTTTGACAATTGTATTTCACCCTCTGACCTTATGTCTTTATTTATAAAATCACGATGACTTTCTTGCCTTACAAGTAATATAAAGCCTTAAATATTTGATCTCCAATCCTTTTGAGATTCCTACTTTAACTTTACACAATCACATTACTAAAATAATACTACTTACAACACATACAACGAAGATATGAACTATTATTTATCTATAAAGGATGTTTGAGTCATTCCACACCATTATCTAGCTATGAGAAATAATTAACATCATTATGTACGTATAACAAAGATACAAAATATTAAACATTGTTATCGGCATGTGGCTACGTGAAAACGACTATGTCCACAAGAAGGGTAATACTAGGGAGAATTATTAATTAAATGTTGATAAACGTGTTTATTTTCTATTAGTGACACATCATTTAGTTTCCAATTTTGTCTCTCTAACATTACCCCACAATAGCGATGAAAACGCCAACTCCTCCACACATGCCCTTAACTTATTTAGTTGCATTCATTTGTACATGGCTTATATATGTATGCAAGATAAAAAAATATGAAGCCTCATCAAATCGGGTCATTGTGCGGTGACACTACTTGTACACCCTTAGGTCCAACCCTGCCGCAATAACAAATCATTTTCATTAGTGAAATTTCCTAAATAACACTAATCACATAAGATATCGTACTCAGCTTTTAAGGTACCACTTGCTAGCATGGTTGCATGAGAATCGGGGATTTCTTTTGCACATGATCTTTTAATTTTGTAAGTCGCCCCCTTACGTGGGACAACCACATAATTGAGGATACATGCAGATAGGGGTGTACTATCTACACACCTCATTTTACTTCTTACGCATCATTGATAATTTCTGTTCATTGATCTTCTTCAATTCATCTGATCCAACGACCAAAAATTAAAAAAATGTGTGAGAAGTAAAATGGGATGTGTGGATATCACACCCCATGCAGATATTGTTTCCAACTTGCTTTTTATCATCGAAGAGTTCTATTTACACCCAGAAATTACATCTTTAGACAACCATAAAATTGTTGCATTTTTTTAACGACCATAGTCCCAATTTGAAACTATAGAATACCCAACTGAGTTCTAAAAGAAGAAACATTTCTAAAAATAAAAGACGAAAACAGAGAAGATGGGCGTTGGAGCATATTGATGAAAGAAAATGGTTTCACCATTGAAAGTGAGACGGTTGACTTCCTCTTCCTGATTAGTTGTACCTTTTTTTTCGATATCAATAAATTTCCCCCTGTACCATTGAGGTTTTCCAAAAAAATGAAAAAAAAAAAAAAAAAAAAAGAAAGGTGACCTCTTCCATGTATGTTTTACTTCCAAGGATTATGAGTTGTGGTCGCAAATAGTTAATCCAACAATAGGTGATTATTTAACATTTTTGTGGTAATTTCTTCTCCACCGTTGAATTAAGATCAAACGGCGATTGACCACAATCTGCGTCCAAGAGAACGGGACTCCTGTTGAAAATATTTTATTCCCCTAGGGAAAGAAGCCATGTGCTGCAAGGGTGGCTCCAAATTATCACAAAGGAAAAATGACCACATGATTGCTTACCATCCCTACAAAATACATCATTTTCCCTCAGGGAAGAGCACTCCAATTCTTTGGTCACGTTCTTGAGTCTTAAAAACAAAACCAAAAAACGGAATACCAACTGTAACCACTACAATTTTGCTCAACAAGTAATTCACCATCCTCGGTTTCGTTTCCTGAGTACTTTCCTAAAAGTCCAATGGAGCAACAAGGTAAGTTCACAACGTAAATTGAATCTATTGAAATCTAACATGTAAACGTTCCCAGAAGCCGGTTCAACTGAATTTCTAATTCGCGGGTAAACGGTGGGTTACAAACTTACAGAAAGAGAACATACCCATTCTATACAAGAAATTTAGTATCATTGTGGCTCACGTAAACATTATTGGGCGCCTCTATACAGTATGCTCTGCCGGATGATAAACCAGTCTGTTCAGTTGGAGATGTGGTTCAGAAAATGGCTTATGTGCATATGAACAGACGGAGACGAGAGGTAGAGAATAATCAGCTAGCACCTAGCTTTCTTACTACTGTTAAGTACTCTCTGCAGATGGAAGACTTCGCCTTGATCCCCACTCAAAAACCTTCTCTCCAAACAGCAAGCAGTAAGCTGCCTGAGTAACCTCTCCAGATATGAATGCAAGCCACCGTGCAAAGAATCTTTCAGGTTGGGATTTGTTGACAGGATCATTGCATTAACTGTGTCTGCTACAACTTCACGCTGAGACTCTTCAAGCAGATATCCAACCGATGATTCCCGTGGCCTTTCGTACGCCAGCAGTGCAACACAGTCCTACAGATAGAGGTGTTGTAACGATGATAAACATTAAATTTCAATGATAAAAGTAAAAGGGTCTAGTTCTAATGTGGTGCTTCCAAAAGAAGCACCAGAGGAACATGTAGCGACTGAAACGCAATACAACATGCAGATTAAAGAACACCATTAATATGAGTTTGCCAGTAGGTACTGTGTTTTTGTACCTCATTGGTCTTCCATATTTTCTAGAAATACATAAAATTAAAAAAAAAAAAAAAAAATTCTTTTATTACCTGAACTAGGTCCTCAAACAGCGGCAAGCCAAAGAACTTTGCCAATTCCATCCTCCCATATTTGACAGCCTCCTCCAGTGCTCCGACCTACATGACAATTTTAAGTATCGCAAGGCAGGCCAAAGAACTTTTGTCATATTCATGTAAGATCACCAAATGGCAATCAGATGCTCTATAAAATAAACAAAAACCTCATATAAGCCAGACCTAAAAGATGTCAAGCAAATAATGCAGGCTGCACCTGTTATTTGTGAACACTAAATCTAATGCGCCATTTGTTAACACTTGAAAGTAGTATAATATCTAGCCATCTGAAATGAAGTTACACAGTTCAATCCATGTTTCTAAATCGTGATTTAATGGTTTCCTTCAACGCTTAAACACTGAATGTAACAGGTATGCAAGACTTTCTTGTATCCTTCCAATTCATTTAAAAAAATAGCCCACAAGTATTGTCATGACTTTATCCGTAATATTCATGTTTTAATATATCTGATGTGATACTAAAGCTAATCTCATGCAAATAGGGGAAACATACCCGAACCAATTCAATAAACTTTTGACAGTGGAGCAGAAAGCACGTAGCAGATTTATCATCCTGCAGAGAGCAAAACTTAAGTCATGACCTTAACAAAATAAGCATTATGACCAAAATTAAATTAAAAAAAAAAAATCAAGCATTGATCCTAAGATGGTTAAGGACAGTAACTTCACCAAATAGCACATAAGATAAAGCCAAAATTCAAAACCACATAAATAGCATTGCTATACACCTATAAAAAGTAAATTTATCTGTGATCCATAAGGAATTCACTGCATAAGCATACGAATAAAAGAATCATAAAATGTCAACATGTAAACATGCCAAATATACTGGAATTCGTAATTATGTTAAGAATTAAGAGTAATCAAATTTATTTTTTTGGTTAGCTAAGAGTAATCAAATATTATCACAACCTTCAACTGATTTTTTTTGCTACAAACAAAAGTTGGTTTAATTAAGACCAGATGATCAAACATTATATTAATTATTAGCAGAAGTACTTTATTAAATTGAAAACATAGAAATTTGAAACTATGAGCCTCGTGTATTTTTCAAAACATTTTCTGCAAAAAATAAGACACCAATTTGTAGGAAAAGAATACAAGACACACAATTACAGACATAGAAATTCACATGTTAAGTAGGTAAAACACGAGATCTGCAACTAACTGAAACAATTAGGATACACTTCAACCCTCTCAAACACATGCTTTACAGAATTTACTGCATGTGCCAAGATCTGTTCAACATCGAGAGCAAAGAATTACATAAAAATAAAAATGGCCACCAAAAGATCATTTTGAAATATTAGACAGTCTACCTGAACAATTTGGGGATACCATTCACGGAGTTTACCAAGAGCAGAGTCGATCTCCCCATTCCTAATGAGCTTCATTAGCAAATAAAACTGGTCAGCCAGGTGCAACTCTTATACTAAAAAAAATTAAGGGCTCGGAGACTGAGTACATACAACAAAGGAAAAACAAACCAAATAAGAAAACCATATATTGAACTGATTCTACAATGCTCCCCGAACTCCCAAGCAGACAGTTTCATAAGACATCACTACAAACATTTCTTTACTATCACATCAAAGCCTTTAGAATTATTTGATTAAATTAATTTTCTATCCAAAATGTCATCCAATCAAGAGACTCAAGGTAAGAGTAAAAGAAAAGGAAAGATGCAACATGTGAGTGATTGGCATACTTTACACCCCTACAAAGCAGATTGGCTACGAGAAACACAAGCAGGTAAATAAATCTTCAAAATGAATTGGGGAAAAAAAAAAGAAGATACTATCATAGGCTGATTTCAAGCGAACCCTGACGAACACATGAACATTTCACATGAAACTATTGTATACAGAAAAGTTGTTTTAACCATGTAATAATGCAACATCTTCAATTACTTAAACAGGAAAGCACTAAAAGCACCCAAAAAAAGGCCTATGGCATATCTCATCCGCATCATCATTTTGTGTCAGTGTAATATATCAAAAAAAGAGAAGTAAATCTTTTGCAACCAGAGATATCATGAATGTTGCAGTCATAAGAAACTGCATCTAGCTTATAACACTCAGTCAGGTAAGCATCAATTCTATGATCATCAAGTCCAATGGAGTTGTATTAATTATTACACATCCCCAAATATAATACGTACACTTTTTTTTTCTGGTTCCTTGTAACCTTTAAGTTTATCCAAACAACTGGGATTCCAAAACTTTCATGCAAATATTAAAGAAGCTCAGGACTTCGTCCCAAACAAGAAAAGAAAGCAGAACACTATAGTAGTCAATCATTTAACTTTAAAGTGATTGTAACTGAAATAAATCAATACCTGTCTAAGAGCCTTTCTCTCATTTAGTGCAAACAGAATGTCCTGCTCATCAAAACCATTTTCTTGAGCTATATGTACTGGAGGAACAGTACTTTTACTAGCCATGTCAAATGAATTGAGCGTATCTTCATATCCATAATGTAGTAAGTAGGAGCGAACAATTCTGGTCAATAAAGCATAAATAAATTAACAATTGACGAATAAAATTTTAAGGAAACAATTTTTTTTTTTAAATAAATACACGGTAAAATCATGACAATATCGATTCCCTGGTAAACCTCCATACTGGTTACGTTGCTAGAAATATAAGTAACTCACCAGATCATAAACCTAGCATCCATCAAGTTCAACTTAAAATAGTGAATTCATATTGATTAGCAGAATAGACATGCCTAAAAATAGTGAATTCATATTGATTAACAGAATAGACATGCCTATGACACCAAGTATTCTTACTTGCAGCCCATGTAGACTGCAGGAAATGCAACTTAAGTATTAAAGAAATTATTGACTCAAATTTCAAGTTACAACCTCAGTAAACACTACAAGGAGCTTGAACTGTTTTTCTACCAGACGTACCCCATCCAGCAAAGTTCAAGATCTCCGGGAAACCTATTGCTCCTTGATCCAGCACAAGCTAGAGTTGTTGGGCATTCCCGGCCCACCAACCCAGTGCTTTCATGTCCACAACCAGCTAAAGCTAAAGTTCCATTAAAGAGCGTTTTCATGGGGCTCCTCAGGGAATTTCAATATTAACTGGGGAGGCAGGTCTGAGTTCTACAAATTGTCAAGGTTATCAATGCTACATTTTATCTTACCAACCCTCAGAACACAACCACCTATAACAACCTGAATTGTCTAAATTCCAAATTTATTTAAAATCTGGTTGAAAATTAAGTATCAGGGACTCAGGACAAGGAGCAGAATGATGACCTAAAAGAAATATATAAAAAAGATTTGGGTTGTGTTAATCTAGCTACAACTATCACTGAACTGTGTCTAATCCCTCAGCTACAATAGTACAATTTAAAAAAAAATAAAAAAATAAAAAATCTAAATCTAAAACTAAATCAACAAATCATATATTAATGTACACGAGAGAAATTCAAATTTTAAAATCAATTACAGTGTCTATTTAACAGGTGACATCAGATCATTCCACCTTGAGGTATATCATATATGACTAAGACATAATAAATTAGATGCCTTCATTTGAGATATCAAGAAATAATGTGTACTTACTGATGACTAACATTAGTCGGCAAAGAAATTTTTTCAATTGACATTTGTTGTTTCATCCTCTCTTGCGCTTCAAATTCCTAAGTGGATGTTAAAATTAATTTCGATTAGACAACATGATATACAAAATATTGAACAAGTTATACTACTTCAAAGTAATCGAATCTTCACAATTATAACCTGTACAATCCTTTATGAAATAGGACTTCATGAAAAGCATTATATATAACAGAAATGAATGAGAGAAGCAACAAATCAGTGCTCATTCAGGAATCCATAATCCAACATAAGTATTGAGGGTATCTGTTATTTTTCCACTTAAGAAGCCCTTTTCCTTGGCCTATACTTTCATTCATAATTTATTTTCCACTTAAGAATTACAATGAAATAATGAATCAACATCGTTACGAGTCCCCTATCCACTACATGCAATCAATGAACCAAATGATCCCTCATTTTATTTTTTTGGGAATGATCCCCCGTTAAAAAAATAATACAAGATGGTTTTTTATACCCTTATTCTCACATACTTGCCCCTTAACTTGATCAAACAACAAAGTTCTTAAAAATCTCAAAATGAAGGGCCAAAAATTAGAGAAACGAAAATGAATTCAAAAGTCAAACATCCGTTGCCACAACCTTAAGGTCCTGTTATCTCGCATAACTGACTCTTATGAATCCTAAGCTCATGTTGTGGAATAAATATCATAGGACTGTGTGGTTATGGGTTGCAACTATTTCCTTCTGTGTCTTTGGACATGCTGGCAAACCACAATCAACAGCGCAGTTTTTCTTATTCCAGTTGATTGATTTTTCCATGAACAAGAATCAAAAGTTGCTTGCTTTATTTAATTGCAAGAAGGGACGCCAGTGGCGTTTTTACTCATTCCATATATCTGAAAGACAGTATGAAAATTCACTCCTAAGAGAAGGAAAGCAACACCGCCAAAGCTTCTAGGTTTAAAAATCCACATCTTGTGGGTTTGGTAACCTATGAGAAAGCAAAACCCAAAATTTATTCTTAAAAGTTATAAAGCACGCCATTGGGAAGCTATTCACTGGGCTAGCGTATGATGGACAGCTAAAGAACACAGAAGTGTGAAAAGGCTTTTGCCTCTTTACTATGGTAAAAAGGTTTATGCCTATTTACTATAAGACAAATTGGACCTTACAAAAAAAAATGATTATCATTTATCTAAATCAGAATTTACGGTTGAAATTTTTTATAGAGGTACGACAACTGATGAATAATTGATTTAGCGAAGACCAAAGACACAAGGCATATTAATTGAATCATATTTCTTTGAAATAAAAGATAAGCAATGAAAAGTATATCTTGCCTTAAGATCAAACGCAAATGGTTGCTGTCCAAAGTTAACGTGTACCCTGCAGATTAAAATTAAGCACACATCTGATAACATGAAAACATGAATCTGAACCATCTGAAGCTGCTGCGTACATGCACAAGCAGTTGGCTAATTACAAAAGATGAACATCTAGAAGAGCTAAAATATTAGAAAAAGATACCACATACTCCTCATTTTGGCTGTGTACAGCAATGGTAGGAAATAAGGGGCCCTTGATATCCTTGGGCACTGTTCCCACCACAGCACCATTTTTACTGGAACCAACATGAACGAAACAAGATCACATTAAACACCACTCTAGTCTCAAGAGAAGAAACACCAAACGAAGTAGACAAGTCTTACGTGAAAAAGAATTCCTGTGAATCATAATTGATACCACCTCCAACTATATCCCCAGAGGTGTAGGTTGGGCCAAACGCTTCTCCTTTTCCATGTCCCCGATAAAGTAGTCCATCATCGCCATGATAGCCACAACTATTTGCCTCCCATCTGCTTCATGGAGGAAATAATTAACACAAATATCATGACTAGAATAACAGAAGTTACAGAACTTGCCAATTAAAATCATAGTTTTCAAATCTCACAAACAGTGGAAAACACAATGCAACATGCAGAAAACAAAATGTTTTCCTCCTTTGGTTTTTCCTTCATTTCCTCCCTTGGGTCCTCCCCAGAAAAAATAAAAATATGGCAGTGGAGAAACAAACTCCCCAATTCATATCTCAACTTTTTACGGTGAGGGTTTGTATCGTTTTCCACCAATTGATCACAAAGTACACTATTATTATCCAATTAGGAACACACAGTTCACACAATCAAAGGTCAAAACAAATGCGCAACATAAAACTCATCAACGATCACTTATCTGATAATAAACCCTATGTACATTGACCTTCTACTAGCTCACCTAATTAAACATAATCAGAAAAACCGAAATTAAACTTCTCTCCCATAACATCATAAGAAGATCTCTAGCTTGCAAAGTCCCAGTTGAAGATTAACACAAAATACCACTTTAAATTCCTATTTCGGTTCTTTCTGAACCTACCAGGTTTCTGAAACACCAAGAAATCCACCAACTTGAATCCACAATTAAAACCCCCAAAAACAAAAATCGACTAACAACTGTGACAGTTAACTTTCAATCATTTTCTCAGAAACCAAACAGACCCAATCAACCAAGAAGCCTCACCCGGGCTGCCTCCGCATCTTGAAGCTCTCAGAAGTAAATCCAATGGAAATCTGGCCCTTGGTCCCAGCATCCTTGACATAAATCTCGAAGTAGTAGACGAGCCGCTTGACCGGAGCTGGCTTGTTAGCCTGAACTACGCCGACGTCGTGGCCGTGAAGATTGACGCTGGTGTACTTGGCGGAGAGCTTATCAGGGGACACGACGATGAAGCCGCCGGAGCTGTTGATGGTGTTGAGCTCCGTGGGGGAGTCCTCGTCCTCGTCGGTCAGCCCCCGAGCAGAGGCGAGCCGCGATTGCTCGAGGAACCACAAGCTGAGATCTCGGTCGCCGTGGTGGTGGTTGGTACTGTTATTGGAGTTGGCGGTGCTCATTGTTTGAATCTGAAACCCTAGAATTCAACTACCATTTGGTGGAAAATCAGAGCGGAACGAAGAAACCTAAACCCTTTTCGTCGATTTGGGGGACTGAAGGAGGGAGGAGAGCAAGAGATATGGGAATGATCTGTTACTGCCCGTAGAAGGAAAGAATCAAGAATCTTTATTTATTTATTTTTAACAAACAATGAGCTTAACCTCAGTAGACTAAATATTAATATACTTCAAATTCGGTTTTTTATTAGAATTGAACTTAAATCTCTCACTTATTGTTGAAAAATAATACCAATAAATCATCGTACTAATTGATTTTTTTTTTTGTTCGTTTTATTTTTCTTTCAAATTATAATTTTTCCCTTTTTTCAAGAAACTAGAGTCCTACAAACTCACTGTTCTAAACAACTCCCTTTATATATAGGCTAGGCAGGTGGTCAATGGCCTAATTGTTCTCTAGGCGTTAGGCGTCTTAAGTGCTTGGCGCATAGGTCGAGACTCTCAAATACATAGCTGTTATTTTGCAGTTTTTAAAAAAATTATAATTATTTACTGTTTACGATGTTTTCAATATATTCTAATACTTTATATTGTATATGTCATTTTATTTTGAAAGTATGTATTCCAAATTCCAATAGTAATTAGGTAATTTTTCAAGTATAAGTAAATATTTATTTATATGTTATATAATAAATTTAATTATAATTAAAATATTGCCTAGGCCCTGCTAGACGCCTAAATGTTAGGCCCGTGCCTTCCGTCCGACTAAAGCTAGTGACTTTTAGAGAACACAAACTAAACTTACATTTTCCATCCATAAACAATTAATGAACTTTCTTTAATCATAAGGACATGAGGTAGTGTCAATATCATAATGAATTTGAAGTTTGGACACAATTAATGTATCGTAATTAAATTGAAGTTTGATGTTACTGGCAATTTTTTCTTCACAACCGAAAATTACGAGAAAATTGTTGATGGTTTTAGGATGAAATACTTGTCACTGTCACCAATCTTCAACCTAATTATGACATAGCCACCATCCAAACTTCAATTCATGTACGACAATGCCGCCACTCCATAGTTTATCTTCAAATTATAACAAAAATTTAAAAGAAATTCCGGTTACAGATAGGATAGTTGAACCTGAAAATGACTATTAAGTGTTTTTCATTAAAAATTTGTCGTCTGAAGCTCGTTCCATTACTTCTTTTTTTTCATGACAAGCGTGTGATCTCATTTCCTTAAAACTTCTTAGGATGAAATGGATCAAATATATATTACATGCATGAAATAATCTACATCTACACAATCTTCAAAATAAGTTGAGTTTACAAAAGCGATTCTAGTTTCAGTCATTTAAAAACATTTCCAAACAAACTTCATTGTCATACTACCTTTTTTATACTGTAAGAACCTTATATTAGCAGGAATCATCATATCACAAAACTCAACTACATATCGAGAACACTAAATTCTCTAATCCACCTAGTGCTAGCCAGCAAACTTTTTCAACCAAGTATGCAGCAGCTCCGGACACTAAGAGCTTGTTTGGTATCCTATTTGAAATTTTTTATAATTTCTCAAAACATTTCTTAAGAATTTTTCTTGAAAACAATTTTCTTTAAAACTCAAAAACTTGTTTGGTATGCGATTTAAAAATTTTAAATTTTACAACTTAAATTGGACAAAGAGATCTAAAAATAGAGGGTTGAGAGAGAAAAAGGAGAGAGGGGGAAAGAAAGTAAAAGATAATTGGAGAAAAGAGAAAGAAGTGAGAGGATCGGAGGAGATAGAGAGGAAAAAGAAGAGGAGTGATAGAAAAAAAAACCGAGAAAATAATGAGTGCGGATTGGAGGAAAGACGAAAAAGGTGAAAAAAAAGGGAAGAAGGGTAGAGAGAAAGAAGAAAATAGAGAAATAGCTTTGGAGTGAGAGGGGAGTAGGGAGAGAAAAAATGAGTTTAAGTTTAAAAACTCATTTTTTGTGTTTTTAAAGAATATACTATATTTTTTAGTTAGTCTTGAGTTCAATTTTTAAAAACAGTCATACCAAACAAGTTTTTAAGGCCTAAAACTTAAAAATTGTTTTTGAGTTTAAAAAATTAGATTCAAATATAATACCAAACAGGCTCTAAATGTTTCTTCACACATTTGCTGGTTTCTTTCTTACCATACATTTCCAAGCATATTTCCTCCTCCCACCTTACTCCATTTTTTTTATTTTTTATTTTTATGATATTTCGTCCCTCGTACTTTTGTAGATCCTTCAACCAGCTCGAATAATCCCTCCCAGGTTTGCAAGCAATGAAGTCCAATAACTCCTCTATATCAGATTCCCGGGAGCTTCCTAGTAAGCGAGTGAGGAAAACCTTCCCGTTGCAGATTTCCTCTGGTTTCTCTTCAATGACAGCACTAGATTCCGTTGCGCACCTCATGATACATGCGTTTTTTGAAGTTTTTGCTACCTCGCTTTATCATCTCTTATGGGAGCTTGTGAGGGAACTGTTAAATAACAAGGGAAAATTGATTTAGCCTTGAAGGCAGTGTGACTTACTGTCAACAGACCAAGCAGTACCAGTTCGAATAGAAGAGATAACCAACATCAAACCAAAATAATCAATTGAATTGATTTATTCAAGTGATAGCAAGTGGTCTTCCAATATATAAAAAAGGACGACCCCAAGCCAACTAGCCCTCGTTTTGCGAGGGTCAGAGGAGGAAAGTCTGTCGTACGTAGTCTTATTCTTACTTTACAAAGAAGCTGATTCCATAACTCAAAACCGTGATTTTTTAGTCACAAAGGAGCAACACAATAGTTTGTCACAAGTATTAACAAATAACTTAAATTAATACAAAACTATTCTATATGGTGCACAATAGTATTTTGTACCTCAAGTGAAGCGTTTGAATTTTCTAAATTTCTATGCAACTCCTTTGATAGATTTCTTTTTCAGCAGGCCCTGCAAAGTGGAACATATGCCATTTGTTTAAATGTACACTCTCGGAGAAAGCAAAGAAATCCAATAGTTCAAATTTGCAGGAAATTTTATAAATTTGAGATCAACTTCAATGGTTGAGCTAAAAGCTAAATTTTTTAGCCCATAAAATTTAGCTTTTAGCCTAAAAATAGTTTTTCTGCTCCAATCCTTCTGGCCTAAAATTTTAGCTCGGGATTATTAAAAATGAACCTAGGCTATTTTTTTTCTTAAATTAAATTAAAAAAAAAATTATATGTAGACTATCGTAAATTAATTTTATGAACATTTTAATCTAAAAATATTTAAATTTCGATAAATATTGAAAAATCACTAAATTTTCCATAAAGCAAACCTTTAACTTTCACCAATTTTTCAACCCTGGGCTAACTTTCAATTCACCAACCGTTCAACACCAAATTTTCAATTCATCAACCATTCAACACCAAACTTTCAACTTTTACTAACTATTCAACTTTCATCAATCATCCTCTATATAAACATATGTTTAATATTAGTTGATCACACAACCTTTCAACATTTAATCATCCTCTATATTCACCAATCTTTCAACTTTCAAAGAGTTTTTGTTCCCTAAAAATTCTCAATATCTCATCAATGGGTGGTAGAAGAAGGTATAGCATGACAATGCAGATGACACAAAACCAAGCAAGAATTGAGATTGAGGATGCAGAATTGTTCAACGCCGAAGCTGAACTTGTAAACTCATTTATGCAATCTGAGCACCATGCGAATCTAGCAATCGTGGTTCTGTCATGGGGCGTTCATTTGTGTAATGTGTATTATGTTGTTATTTTCTATTAATAAATCTAAGTGTCTTCTTGTGCAAATTATTTTGTCTAGTACGTTGGATAAATTATTGAATGGATGTTGAATTATTGAAGGCATCTATTCTACATCAAAGTGTGGAATAATAAACACAATAATTATTGAAAACATCTAGATTAATAGAGACAATAATTAATAAGACATATATTTAATAAAGTACATAAACCACATAAACTTAATACAACTGATAACTCATAAACCGCATAATTAATAAACTACATAAACTTAATACAAACGACATAGACTACATAAACTTAATAATCATATCCACCATCTTCACTTGCTGATGGACTTCGTACAGGACTTGGGATATAGGGTTCAGAGGATTCATCATCTTGAAATATACTCCTTGAGGTAGACTTTCGCAAAATTTCCTTTTGCTTACCACGTAAAAACTTCTTCCTCTCTGGAGTGTATTTGCTAAGGTCCTCCATCATGAAATTAATTTCAAACCTATCTTGCTCCCTATCCGAGATTTCCTTCATTTGCAAAAGCATTCGGGCTGTTTCTTCTTGGCGAGCGCTATGGGTTTCGTTCAATTTTACAATTCCGGTAGCAAAGTGTCCACTCAACGTATCTTGGGACTTCCCTTTTCTCTTTGCTTCCTTTTGCTTATTTCTTCTTGGGGGCCTTGCAAAAGAAGGAGATGGGGTCATTTCATCAACACCTTCATCTCCGACATTTGTTTGTGCGGCTTCACGTTGAAATAATCTTCCCCATTGTTGGGCCGCATCGGTTCCTCACCTCGGACAATCCTTGAGGACGTCCCAAGCATGTTGCAACTTAAAAACTTGATTTTTTGATGTTACTCTTGTCAACTTGATTTTTTGATGTTACTCTTATCTTGTAAATTTCCATTGTTTTGTCACCGTATGCAAAAAATGCATAAAAATAATTAGTTGCAAAATAATATTATGTAGATGACAAATAAAATATCAAGAACAAAACTCACAATTTCTGTGGCGCTTCTTTCACTAGCCATGTCAACCATGGCTATCTCCAAGCTTCCCTTTCATAAAGTGCATGCTTTGTTCATAATCTTCCACTGATCATAAACACCACCACCATCTTGCTCGCCGCCATTGCAGTTTTCTTGAAACTTTGCAATGATTTTATTCCACAAAACCTTCTTATTTTGATTTGTACCAACTACACCGTCTTCGCTAACAGAAACCCATGTCAAGCATAAAGTAACATCTTCCTCACATGTCCAATTACAACCTCTAATATGCTCTCTTGCCATGTTGAACAATTTAGAAATGGAAAGAAATGGTAGAAAGATAAATTGGAAGAATTGTAGGAGAAAATTGAGTTTAGTGTGAATGTTTGAACAAATACATAGGTATTTATAGAGTTTTTTGGTGAATTTTGAGTTAAATA